GTTCCAAACTTTTATAAATAAACAGGAAGGACTGTTACCAGCATCAGAGCGTGGCAAGGCCTGATTTCACAATCTTTCTGGTGACTTTGGGCCAAATTTGACTGACGAAGAGGCTCTGTGGCAGTTTTAGAGGAAACATGTAAATATGTGTGGACTCACAGGAAAATATAACCGAAACATTTGTCCACACAGTTCTGAGATGCTCCTTTCCTCATCGTGTTCATTTTGGCCTTCAGGTCCCTGAACCTGGATCGCCAACCGTGCTTGTACCACAGTTTGGTGTGGTTGGTGTCTGAGGTTCTTCTTACCCCAGCTATGACTACTGGCTCCTGTATGGCCACTACCCTCCTGGAACCTTTAGCACTTTCAGCAAACAGAACGAGAAGGGCAAAGACTACTATCAGGAAATCCATTACTTGAAAGACCACCTTAGTGATGGCTCTGAGCTGAAGGAAAAATTCTCGTCAGGAGCCCAGTAGGTCAACGTGGTGATTAAAAAGGTACAGTACGTACAGATAGCACCACACCAAATGAGTGCTACATAATGATACTGGAGCTAAATTGGCTCTCCTTCCAGGTTGGATGTGATCAGCGACTCAAAGCATGGAGGGATCTAATCCATGATAAAATGTACTGATAATCATTTATATGGAAGTGGAATTAACTAAAGACAGATGTGTTTCTACAGCTAACATTTATTATGATAATGTGTTTTTATAGCTAACTATCTGGGTATTAATGACAGAATAAAGAAAATTAATTGTGTGTATCTCATCAGGTGAAGGAGGAGGGGTGCTCATCATCCCGATGTCAGATCCTGATTAACTCAAATCTCGCAATGTGTAAGAATTGATGCAATAATTCTTAAAATGAAAATAAACCCAACAGCTGGGACAGATGTGTGGAAGAGCTTTACAATAGAATATCATCACGTGTGATACGTAATGGATGGAGAGACCCTTTGAGCTGGGGAATGTATTGGGTAAGGGGGACATCAAAGTCTTTCCAGAACCATCTTGGAGGTGTAAATAGATGTATAAAGACAAAAATGACATGATTCCATTATGTGTGAAAGAGAAATGTGAACAGCTCAGAGATTTATTGAAATTTGAGAATCAGAAAAAGCTTTTCTGTTACTTCAATATATTTAAAAACCCATCACTACCTCTATTTTTTAACAGGATGACGTAATTTTTTTTTAAGTAAAGGAAAACTACAGAAAACGGGACGTCCCTGGGTGGGCTCGAACCACCAACCTTTCGGTTAACAGCCGAACGCGCTAACCGATTGCGCCACAGAGACCTTCTCTTCCCGCCGAACTCCGGTGTTAAAAATTAATTCAAACGGTCGACCTGGGCAGTAGACGTGGAAGACATGGTTGATTTGGACTAGAATTCGTGAAAGCCAGCTCACCAGAAGCCATCTGGGTCTCGGGCACAGCGGTATGGGGGCCGGGGCAGTCAGTCTGTGGGGGAAATCTTGAATCATTTTGAGCTGGAAGACGTCTAATCAAAGTGAGGAAATGGGCTGCTCAGTCAGACTTTAACCGGGAGTCAGGGGCTTCATGAGGGGAAGAACGGGGGCAAAAGGCATCCTTTTTCAGAGTGTAGAAGTCAAAATGGCCGCAATCACAGCCACAGAGACAAATGTAACCTTGCTAAAAATATTAATGATAGTCAATTGTGGTCCTCTGTACCCATCCATGTAAAACCTACATCACACTGTGCATGCCCACACACAGACACACACTTTAGAGCTCACAATAAGTCATCTGTGCCGATTTGTGCATTAATAGCGTCAATCCTGCAGGTGTTTTTGCTGTCTGGCACAACTATGGTAGTCAGAAATTCATTCTACCAGGACAAGGTGGGGGGGGGGATCAAATCTAATAAAACAGATGGATTGCTCTCTTTGAGCAGAAGTAGTAGTAAATGATAAATGTAAATGATTGGGTCTCGTCAAGTTTGATTATTGTCCAGTGAATAACTAAGGCACAGTGAACAGCTCCGTCTTCATTTAGCTGTCTTAAATAGGAGCACTGGCCGTAACCTTTTGTGCCGGCATCAGAGAAATGATGCAGCTCTGCCTTTAAGACCTTTCCAAATCCAGCAGGTAGGTAAGTGCGGGGTATGGTTACATTAAGCAAAGTTTCTTTTAAAGCAACGATGCTTTAAAAAGAGGTGACGCATTTACATGATTTGTGGTGAGTATTAGGTGATCTAAGGCTTGGGAAATAACATAGTCCAAGAATAGTCAGATGATTCTGATCAGGAGGATGCAGACATACATTCTCAAAAGCATGAGACAACTCCCTTACAAATTCAATCTTTTTATTCATTTTTTTATTCATTTGGAGGTTGAAAAGATACACAAAGCCTTACAATTGTTTTAAGTTCACCATCCATCACATGGTTATAATTTTGCAAAACAAATCTTTACAAAGAAAGTTTGATCTCAACTGCTGGGCCCCATGATCATTTCAGAGAAAGGGGTATTACATCTAAGATCAAAATGAATCCAATAACCAAAAGGCAGAGTTGTTTCATCAGAAAAGTTTACAGTGGGTCAAGGGCTTGTTTGGTAATTTCTCGAAATATTCATTGAAAGGTTGCTACATTTTTATAAAGACATCGTAGAGTCCAGTGGAGAGCGGGCAGCCCTGTCTACTGCTTCTATGTAATGTCAGTGGAGTTGAGGTTATTTTATTTGTTACTATCTTTGCCTGTGGATTGTGGTATAGAATTTTCGCTGAATTAAGAAAAGATGTGCTACACCCGAAATGATCCAAGACCTTGAGAAGATATGGCCATTCAAGGCGGTCAAAGGCCTTTTCCGGATCTTGTGATATTGCAATCCTGCGTTCTTTTATGTTGTTGACTACATGGATAATGTTAAAGAATCTAACGAGGCTGTCGGAAGACAATCGTTTGTTTATGAAGCCAGTTTGGTCCTTATTGATAAGTTTAGGAGGAGTTTGTTTAATATATGGGTCAGAGCTTTAGAGATAATCTTGAAATCTGTATTAGGAAGGCTAATTGGCCTGTAGGATTTTTGTTTTTTTTGTCTTTCTTATAAATAACTGTTATTAGGGCTACTGAGAAAGAACCAGGTAAGGTTTGAGTTTCAGATGCCAATTTCACAACATCCATGATTTTGTGAAATAAAAACGTATTTTAAAGAAAAAAAAAGATGACACTCAGTCATTTAAACCAACCATAGGGGAGGAAACTGTGTCACCTGTAACTCCCCTCATGTTATATAGAATATGTTAGAAAAAGTGACTGAGCTGTTGTGGGCGTGTTTCATGGTAGTTCTCAGTCCCGCCCGGATGTGTCGCTGACTTGGTTCGTATTATGGATGTCTGGTTTTGACCTTTGCTTCGTTTTTGGATTATCCATTTTGTGTGTACTTCAGTCTCCTGAAATATACAGAGTTTGTACATTGGATTCCTCTCTGAGTCAATGTCAGCGTGTGCCTGATGACACAGATGGAGCTGACAGATTTACGACTGGTATCAGTGCCCGGCCTCGACTTATCAGAAAGAAACAGAGAGAAACAGAAAGCTCAGTGAAAATACAAGTCCAAAATCTAACCACTAAAAGCTAAGTATAACAAACTACAGAGTAATGTAAGAGGCAGATGCTAAGATTATAGGTGTCTATGTCCAAGCATTAGAGCAGCAGTTAAACTGACTATTGAATAAATGGTGTGCCTTAATTAAGAAATACTTTTTGACAACAACTACTACGTGTGATAATTCATTGTCATATGTTAATTTTAGCATTGTACGTTCCTAATTCTGGATTCTTTCAACCAATATTTCACTCTGTTTCTCAAAGCTATTTGATATCTTACCTGAGATATCCCTTATCTACAATGAGGTGGTTCCTTATCTGTATAGTATAATGGTGTAACCTCTTTTTTGCTGAAACCATCAATTTCCATGACATAGGTTACAACAAACATAACCGGCTTTTCTTTGGTCAACATGCAACTTGTGACCTATGCATCCTACATTGTAGGGCACAGGGCTCAGATTTCAGGCTCCCTAAAACAAAATATAAAATTAGAAAAATAAAAGGCCAAACATTTTCAATTTACTAGTACATCTGTGGTTTTTATCATTTTGTCTGTGGTAGAACTGATGAACAGTAGGATTCTTTCCTCTTTTCCCGCTGTAGTTCTCAACCCCTTAGCAGACCAGTATCCAGTCATTTTTTGACAAAAAGGAGGATCGAGTCTGGAAAAGTATTTACTTTAAACATGGAACAAGTTCCTATTCAATGTCATATAAAGCCTGGAAAAGCAAATATGTGTTAACGTGTGTTTATTAGTTTATTAGTAAATCAATTGGTCATCATGTGCACGAGCTATTTATGAGTTTGTATGAGATCGGTCTCATAATTAACGTAAAATCATTTACATTCTAACAGTTGAACTGATTAGGGTATATTGTGAATTCCTTTTTTTAAACTATATCTTTTCATTGCATTACATTATCATGTATTTTAACATATTATTTTAATACTGTACTATATTATATTATAGAATGTGAAAAGCCTTTTCTAAAACGTGATAATGTGATATTTCTGTTGTGATAATTGCATATTTTGCTATTCCAACATTAATACTCTATCAAAATAACTTGATAATGAATTCTTTAAACATGAAAACAACATGCTTGGCTATGTGTGATATACCATTCCACCAGTGTACTGCAGTATTAAAAAAAAAAGGAAAGATTAGTAAAAAACTGTTCAGTGCCAGAATATAGGTCCTGAATTTGATTATAAAGACTGAATTCAAGTGACAAGTGATCCATGGAGGGAACTACTTTCTCACTCGTTAGTGGTCGACATTGCTGGGCGGATGGATATGTGCTGTTCATAATGTGTTTGATTAACTCAGCGGGCAAACAATAATTTGGTTTAGCGAATTAACAAAATAAAAGTTTAACAACGAGTAAAATACGTTGATTAAACATTCTAGTAACGTAGAAAATTATAACACTGAGTCCCCTTTGTCGAAGCCCACCACTCACTAAATTTTTCTGTTTCCTGGGAATGTCCGGTCAGCTCTCCGCGCCCCTCCCCTTGCTGTACGTCACCCTTCCTCCATATAAAACCCCCCACAGCTCGTCACATCCAGAAAGAAGTAACGCCGAAATCGTTGCGGACCTTGGAGGGTTACAGTTACCCAAAACCTATTTTCAAATGGGCCCCGTCGCCTAGCGTTTCCTCCCCCATCCTCGCCGACTGAGTTGGACCGGGTGCTACTCAACATCAAGCACATCTGGATCAGTAAAAGAGGTAAGGGTCTGAAAATGGTGGTGTGGAGGTGTCACGGTTGGGTTTAAAACGGACGAGTTAACGACCATTACCCTCCGTGCTAATCTCGGCGGTTTCATCAAATCTGTAGTTTTTTTCGGGAACACGGCGTACCATTTATCTTTTCTCGTTGTCGTAGAAGATTGTTTTCTAGAACACTAACGGTAATTTCTACGTTGGCCTTAACCCTTAAACGTAAGTTTAAAAAAAATACACTGGCTGCTTTGTGTGTTTTTTGTTTTTTTTATCGTGAAAACTAAACTTTCTCATAGCTTTAAAATAGTCTTCCATTTAGTATAATGCCTCGAACGATGTAAAAGAAACGAAACAGCGTTTCTCGCTATTTTTTCTTCTTTTTTCTTCTTTTCAATTGTAGCCAACAAATGGAAGGCAAAATGTCGGTTTGGTGCAGTAACTGTAAACAATCGACGTAATGACGTCATGGCACTGACAGGCGAACGTGCTGACCAAGCTGAACGATATTTTATCGAAGGTTTCGCTGTGAAAACTGTGTTTAAACGTGTCCAGGGAGCTTTGATCTTATATTCTTTATTCATATTTTTGTTTTTTAAAGGGTTGATGATCAGGATCATTTGCGTATCTCTTTGTCCTTTGTTTTGTCTTGTTCTAATAATGGATTCAGGATTCAGTAAAATACACAGTATTTTTTACACTTTTCAGATTGTCTTGTTTTTAATGACTGCAGATTACTTTCAGTTTATACCTCTTTGTGAAGAAGATTGTTTGGGAAAATGCAATGTTCTGTGCTTTGTCATCTTTCTCCAGAGCTAACATAGCAAAGGCAGGAACAGAAGGATGGCGGCAATTCCAGCTGGTGGGTCTCTTGTGGCAACCACTGACTACTACCGAAGTGAGTGTCCCCTTCCATCAGTTTCCGGGATGCAGAAATGTATCGGTGTAACGGGTTAAAATGAGTTCCATCTTGCACATGGTGACTCGCTGTTGAAATATGTGCTTAGAGTATTTCCCAATGGGATGTGAATCATGAAAGTGGTAAAGATGGAGTTGCATTAGAACTTTCTTAACATGACATTTTTTTGTTTGCAAGATTAAAGTGTGATTAGTGTTGAAATTCATATTCCCAAATATTAATGAATAGGGTGATTTCAGCCAGTTCTGTATCTCAAAATATAGTGGTACAATCAAGAAAAATGGGAATTCAAGATTTTTGTTTGACTAAGTTTAGTCAATTTAGATCAGTACTTATCAACATTTTTTTCAGTGAGGGTTTTTTTTGTTCTTTATTCTATTTTTTTAAGCCAAGTAACCAGCCCAAAGCATTTTTTGTTGAGGGGGGTGCACAGACTAAAAAGCGGTGTACTGTGCCATCAGTGTCTAATTTATTTGACTTTGGAACTGATCAATGCATTCAAATATTTTGAGAAAACTATTTTGGTCATTTTAAATGTTAATAATCCATGACTAAATGTAGATTAAAACTAATGTAATAAAAAAAGTGACCACGTAACCATTTAAAACTACAAAATGAACCATTTAAATCCATAAATGTGCCAAACCCTTCTCATTTGTAGTCTATCTTGAGCCATTTGGAAATCAAGAGAACTTAAAATAAAGAATTAACTTGATAGTAAAATAAGATTTATGCACAAAATCATTACAAACAAAGTGTCCTTTTTGGGATCATAGTAAAATTATTTTTTAAGAATCAAAAAGTGTCACACCTCCATTTGAGAACCAATAATTTTAGAAGGATTCAGGTTTTGTTTGGGTCAAACAAACCCAGTATCCAAAGTGTGTCTGCATTTGCTGATATGGCCGCTCGTCCCTCCCTGCTGCAGGGCGCATCGGCTCCACATCGAGCAGCAGCTCCTGCGGTAGCTCCGAGTACAGTGGGGAGGTCATCCCGCACCATCCAGGTCAGTGTCCTCCTGGAGTCCGTAGTTTGGAAGTGATTAACCCTTTAATTTCCCGTCAAACAAGGATGCAATTTGACTTCATATTCTTATTATGGCCCAAATTACCTTAGTTGACGTGGAAGCAACAAAATGCAGACTCAGTAGTAGCAGCTAAAATTGTGTCATTTATCCTCCTTTTGTATGCATCTTTTTTATTTTTGGTCATTTGCAAACGGCACAGCCACGGCGTCTGTATTTGTAACTTCCTGGTTGACCGTTGCCTCATAACCCGCACAGTTTCTGATTGGACTTTCCCTTAATAGTTTTATTTATTTCTTTCCTGATCAGCTAAGAAAGCCTCCTAACTTTTTTGTTGTTTTGTTTTGCACTCTGAGCTGCGATTATCTGCCCCCTCAGGACTTCCCAAGCAGGACTCTGGCCATTGGTGGTCCAGTTTCTTCTTTGGGAAACAGCCTGGGATGACTCCATTGACAGAAGAGGCCCAGCAGAAGTAAGTGTTGATGTGCACATGCTTTTAAATAAAAAAAAAAAGTTTCTTAGTCACACAGAGTCCCACAAAGTGTAAACTTTGCTTAAGCTATTAAACATTTTGTGTTCCCCTCCATATGAATATTTTTCCCCATACTTTTAAAATCCATTCAAATCTGACATGTTTGGAACTGACACTGTTGACGTTTTCAAACGTCAAAGCCTCTCCTTGAGAGATCAGATCAAAGGGGGGCGTTTCTCAGTGTGTCTGCTTGTTTCTGTCATCAGGGTGGGGGCAGTGACAACCGGTCAGATCACCTGCGTTGCGAGGGAGATGGTGCTGCAGCGACAGGTGAGCGAGGGCAGCAACGCAGGAAGTCCAACTTCATCATGATTTCATCATGATCCCGCGTTTCATTCCAACACGCTGCACCTCGGGGAGAATCGATCCAACGGCCAACGCTAGGTGACGGGACGCTTTTGAGTTTTGTAACTTTTTTGTTTTGTTTTTTGTACTCTGTATTTTCCATTGTAGTACAGTTTACAACATTTGTCTTTGCTCTTAACCTCTTGTTAAGAGACCTTAACTCCTGTTTTCCAACTTTCCACCTTGTTAAAAGACCAAAAATGACGAGAAAAAAAAATAGTGTAAAAGTTAAGCACCTCAACATGTGTAACTTCTTTTTTTTTTTTTCTCTTAGTGTGGTGTATAAACATTCACATGCCTTTTGTTACACTTTCCACCTTGTGATATTGCAAACGCAATAAAGCAGACTTTTGAAGCCTAATGCGGAGTTGCTCTGTCCTTGTGCTTTGTACTTCTTTTAAAACAAAAACATGAATCACTGTGAATAAACAAACCCCCAAGACTGAATACTTCAAAGAAGAGCTGTAAAAACAAACGAGAGCACCTGGGGAGGGCCAGTATATCACATCATCTTACTGTCAGGGAAGTGTGCCTAAAGTATAGTACAAGTAGTAAAAGCATTATACAGTTTTCAGCAATTGTGTCAACATGATATCAAAAGTAACAAAGGGAAAAAAGTGGACTTCAAGGACATATGTTGGTAGCCTTGAGTCAGACATGTATGTATTTATTCAGAATCTGAATAACTGTTGGAAACTGCAAGTGCACCATTTTGTCCTCCAGGCGCTGCTAAGCCCCGACTGGAATAGTGTAGCTCTCACCCATTGTGTCCCATCCATCAAAGGGAAAACCGTGCCACCATACAGACTTACTGCAAACTAAATGGAGAGGTTTCATTTTGCGTGATCTCCTCCTCTTTTGCCAGCCTTGTAAAAGTTACAAGACATGCTTATAATTGACCATCTGTTTAAATGTCTGTCTATATACACACAAGTGTGTGTATATAACATGATTTACGAAATAAAATAGATACATTTGACTTGAACCAAGACGTATACTTATAAAGAATGAATAATGCAAGCTTCCTTTTACAACGTCACTGACAGCTTGATTCATAATTCACAACTTCAATCACAGGTAAGACACTTCTTTCTATGGATGGTATATGTGCTTGACCAGTGAAAATAACTAGAAATATCTGTTGGAGAGAAAAAAGAAAAAAACTTGGACTTTATACCGTTGTCCAACAACTCTGTCACGCCCTATCAGCAGGTTAGCCCGAATCTGCTGATGTAGTAACTTGAATAACTTGGTTTTATTACTTATATAAAAGTACAGAACCTTAAAAAAAATAAGTACTGTTAAAATATTACTACAGTAAAAATATTGAGTGCAGTCCAGAGCAATTCTATTAACGTTTCTGAATTTAGCAGACGCTTTTATCCAAAGCAAACAAAAACATGCTTTGACATTTAATTACAACACCAGTTACACAATTACCTTACCTTGAGTGCAATATGCTATAAGATTTAACATTTAGCTAGCTAGCTTTAACATAGATCACAAAAGTACCATACATTGAGTGCGATCAGGAAATTTGTGTATTAAGAGCTTTCGGGGCAAGATATACTCTTGGAAGAACTGGGTCTTCAAGGGTTTCTTGAAGGAGTAAAGAGAATTTTGATGCTCTGGTGCTTGTAAGGGAGTTCCAGCCACGTGGAACCACAGATGAGAAGATTCCAGATTCTGGAGTATATTCAGATGCTTTGGACAGGTGAGTAACTCCAAATGTATGAGAATAACATTTAGCATCGGCCTTAGAAAGTACTTTTCCATACACTTAAAGTAGCTTTACAATTTTAAGCATTCTTCATTCACTCCTCAGTCACATTTGGTGTGGAAGTGTCATACTAAACCTAAAAAGGTCCCAAAGAACCACCACAGTCAAACATGGGCAGGATGGGTTACATGCTATGTCCATGGGTACAAAGATGGTGTACGCCTGGGCAGGTATTCGAACCGATGACCCTCTGGATGCTGGGGTAATGCCTACGCACGATAGGTGGCACAGTTCAGATAAATAAATCAACATTTTTTTTAGAAAATCTATTCAGTAGAAGTCAAAGGGAAGCTGGAAATTGAAATATTACAAATACAGTTTGATTCTGAACAACTTGAGACTAAACTAAAGTTATAGGAGCATGAGTGGATTATACAAAACGTTCTGTCTCATATGTGTCCTGATGAGCCCCTACACCCCTATTTTTTTCTGTGCTTTTTATCCCTGCCTTGTACCCCCTCAGTGCTTTGTTCACATGCAGCTTCGTTTTTTCAATGACTCAATTTCTAGTCGAACTGCTGTTGGGCCCTGCGTTTAAACTCATCCAAATCCAAATAGCTTCTTTCTTTTATGTCTATTAGGTAAACTTTAACGTCTAAGATGGGCATTTAATGGGGCTTTAACGGCTGAGTAATGGCGCGTAAATGCAGATATAATGGTGCTGATGGAGCTTTTTGATCTTCCTGGTCCCCTAAAGTGCACTTTGTCAGATTTGTTTTCATATAATTCTGGAATCACTTCTAATTCTCCCCAGGAAATGCAATACTTTTCTATCTCCCATGCTGTCTTTTTCTCTGGAATACTACTGCCACCATTATCTCAGTCAGTGAAACCTGGCCATACACACACCTTGTTTTGCACAGTCTCTGTCAACCTCGCCCTCCATTCCTTGTATGTAACACCAGTATAAAATACAAACTCATAGGTTGAAGGTGTATGGTTCTCTTGACCACTTGTCTTCTAGACCAGGGGTCAGAAACCTTTATCAATCAGTCATTTTGACTTGTTTTCCAAGTTTTTTTTTTTAAACCTCTAGAATGAAGATAATTTACCCTAATCTACCTTTATGCTCTGTAAAAATAACGCATATAAAAAAAAAAGTTGATCATTTAGGTTAGAAAAATACAAAGAGGGTATAGAATCTCCTCAGCACCGAGGTCAACCAGTGTACCTCCAGTAACTTAAACAATTTTCATTTTGGGATGCATACCGTAGCTGAAAAATATTTGACCAACTTACAACTGGAAAGACAACCACACAACCAAAATTGTCAGCAGCAAGAAATAAGTTATTCAGCTTTCTATGTACTTTCACAGACAGTCTGTAAACTATGTAGTTGAAATAGCATACATAGAAAAAAATTAAATGAAGTTGGCTACTTTGTTGGACATATTACAGAGCGGGGAGTTTTTCGTTCTTCAATCATTGTCAATTGTTTCCTGGTGTGTTTATTCTGCTGCATTCACTTCACATAGCACTTTTCTACAACAAGTAATCCACCCTTTTGGTCACTTTTTTTTGGAATACTTTATTTCGAAGTTTAAGTTATGGAACAACAGTACAACTTAGTTCCATTAAAATAAAAAACAAAATAATATTTCATATTTAAAGTAATATCAGCGGTAACTTAACAGACACATTTTTTAATTGAACAAATTATATAGAAAAGTGGAATGAAATGAGAGAAACAAATACAAATTCACGTGTGACAGTCACATTTTTAACAGCAGATGCTTCTGAAAAAGTAGGTTTGAAGGAGATGGCTGAAGTTTGGTAACAGAGGCTCACTGATCAACAAGGTAAATCAAATAAAACAGGTGATGACCTTCTTGAAGACCTCCGCCGATCTGAGTGTGTATGGCATCCTACAGTGAAGAGGCATGCACTCCAAGGGGAAAAGGCCAAGAAAGGGAAGAAAAGTCCATGTAAGAGAAATGGAAGTTCCGAATATGCAGTGAGAGAGCAACTGAAGACATACATGAAAGACAGAGACCTATGGCTTCTTATTGACAAACTCAGGACAAGTAAGGATGATATAATGACCATGTACTTTGAAATCCGGGATCTCACCACACCTGCTGACATAAGACTACGAGTTGACACGTGTGAATCGGTGTCCAAAGAATTCATCAACATCGCCTGCAGCAGAGCGATAGACGATGAGGGTGAACTTAATGAGAAACAGGAAAGACGCCGTCTTCATGATCTGTTTTATCATAACTGTGCAGAATCCATCTATGGCTGAACTAGCAGTGAAGGTAGCAAACTACAAGATGCTGTTAGATTAAGAAAAACAGAGAGAATCTATACGCGAGTTAGAGGAATAACAATGGAGGGCTCTAGAGGCACAAAGGCATGGGTTGGAGTGATTGCAGGCAGAAGTATGGGAAGCTCAGGCCAAATTTAAGGTCTATGATGGGAGATGGAATGTGATAATGCTTATTACAGTCGATGAAAGGAACAAGGAAGCAAGTAGTGTGCCTGTAGCTGCAGTCTGTTCACCTCACCCTACAGCTCCCTCTCATGCAGACTTTTCCCCACTCACTCGGGTTCTTCAAGACAGCAGAGCATTAAACAGGCTTCCTGTTTCTGAACGAACCATCCGTTTACAGTAGTGATCTATAAAGATTCATTGAATGGAAAGCAGCATTCACCTCGCTTGTTGATAAAAGGGCGATCTGTTAAGGCTCAAGAACAACCGAATCCCTGTAGCAAGAAAAGGAGGGAACCTCTGGCAGTCTCTTATTTTAGGTGGGCATGCCACCGTTTATTCTCCCAGATGTCTGGACAAAAACCAAACCAAACAAAACACAGGAGGCCTGCAAAGCGGGGAGGGCACGGAGCCGTGGAAGGCATGCTGGGGTCGTTCCTTGCAAGTACACATAGCTGCAGACTAGGATGGATATCCAACTCCGCCCATATCCAAGTCAGCCATTTTCATTACGTCACCCCCCCAACTCCACCCATATCAAAGTCGACCATTTTTATTGCGTCATCCCCACCAACTCCGCCTATATCCAAGTCGGACATTTTGATTACATCACCCCTAAGAAGTGTGGCGTGGTGAAAGTATAAATATGAAAGGCAAACTTTAGAAAGTTTTAAAAACAGCATAAAAAACTGCATTCACGTTATTTTCTGTAACATTTTCTTGTTTTTTTCAAACCTCGTTCATGTGACAGTAGCCGTTAAAATAATTTCCTGAATACAAAAATGTTGTAATAAACATGCATTATCGTAATTGCTTCATGGCAATATAGACATTAATTTAAAAATACTTAAATTAATCTTGCAAACACTGAATTACTGAACGCCATACATAATATTGTGTTAAAATAGTATGTGTTAACCCTTTTATTATGTTACAGGTCAATTTGACCCATTTCAGTTTTTGTGTTAATCAAAGTGATGGTTATCCTTTTTTTTCTTCATGAAATTTGGTGACTTTTCCTCATCTGGGGTCATGAACTTGTGTGTAAAATCTGGTCACTTTGAGGTGTAGTGGGGTGTCTGTGTAGAGTATGTTTACAAAGATGATGGTGTGGGTCATTTTGACCCGGACACATTAATGTGGGTAAGTA